GTTTTTTAGTGTTCGGCACTTAATGCGATTACTCTTCGATTTATTATGAACTAGGAATCGCGGTCCAGTTCTATTCACATCACATATTTTACGGTCATATACAAAGATGAAGCCTTGAAATCAGTTTCACATATTTCGTTTATTCTCTCGATAATTTAAGAAATAGATATTCATTAATAGCTCCTTGAATCGGTGCATTTTTGAAAGCACACTTTCCGATGGTTGGATCTTGTTGCACTGTTCGAGTGAAACGAGATATACGATATACGATAATATAAAATGCACAATTAATAACTAATAAATAAATAAAGGATAAAGCATTTGCCGTTGATCAATCCCTTTTTGGGATGCGGCACGCATTCTACTTCCATTTGTACATTCGTAGTGGCGTTTGAATGCGATGTGGCCTATACAATGACTTGCGGGGGCCAGCCGATGTACAAGTCAGTGTTTTTATCCTCCCAGACAAGTCTGGTACCAATTAACCGACCCCGGAGGGATGGAAGGCTTGGTTGGCCCGGGCGACTCACGACCAGGGTCAACCGTCCGTTCGAACTGTTCGAACGAAGGGGTCGCATTTTGGTCGGAAGGGGGTCGCAATTTCGAGGACTGCCAGCCACAGGCGCGTGCGTGGCGTATCCGAGGGCAAGAATTGTTTGTGCAGACCGCATTAGATTCGATTAATTATGCACAGAGAGACAGTTTTAGGCAAATTACAGTGTTTTCCTTGAGGAATAAAGAACAACAGTGTTGAATGCATCCCTATGGGAAATGCGTTTTGGACTTCTCGGGGCTGAAATTGAAAGTTCTTCGGGACCTGATTTTCTGAGGACGATTCTTCCAGACAACGGTAAAACACATAAGAAAGCAGAAATCTCGTAGTCTTCAAAAATGTCTTCGCCCCTCCCCAACAAGTTCTTTGAAGGAAGTTATTATTGCTGAAAGCTCAAAAACTCGCATGTGCTGCTCAAAAACCTATGGGAACAAAATGTTCGAACGTGTGATTTTCTCGGAAAATGGTATTTTGAAAAACGGTTCGGTGCTTGCCAGAAAGAGCAAATCCTGCTCTTTCACCCCATGGAAAGTGTGCATCACAGAAATGAAAATGAAGTGAGTTATGCCCGCTTAAAGCCCAAAAACTCGCGATTTCAAAAAAAGTGTTCGGCAAAACCCCCAAAATGTTCGAACGTGTGATTTTCTCGAAAAATGAACTTTGAAAAACGGTTTGGGGCTTGTTAGAAAGAGCAAATCCTGTACTTTCACCCCATGAAAAAAGTGCATCACAGAAATGAAAATGAAGTGAGTTATGGTCGCTGAAAGCCCAAAAAACTCGCTTTTGCACGAAAAATGTTCGAACGGGACAATTTTTTGAAAAAGGGGACAATCACAAACTTTTTATACTATTTTGTTAGAGAAATATTTGAAGTTTCTGAAACTTTTTATAGAGATTTCCAAAATGTCGCATACGAAGGATTTTATGGGCCTTCAAAGTTGAAGGTGCGCCTTCTTAGAATTTTTGGGTTCTTGCTTCTACGAAGTACCCTATTTTCCGGTGTATAAGCCCCCGCTAGTATCATGTAAAAACACCTCCACTGGTGCAGTGTACTTGAGTACATCTAGAGTCAACCGTAACATGCCCATAGGGGTAATTTCGATATGCTGATCACGAAAACGACATTCGTTTTTAGCGGTGGCGGCATCTGGCGCCAGTTGGCGCCACCTTGTCACGACCCTTGTTTTCGCCAAAATCGGTGTAAACTTCAGTATAGGGGTTATTTGGGACCCTGATTACGAATATGACATTCGTTTTTGGCGTTAACGTTGTTTAGTGCACATGTCTCGGTTGGAGAGCGCAGACGAGCAGAAAATAGGCGTCAAACAGCGCCAGCGCCTATAATGAATGTCATATTCGTAATCAGGGTCCCAAATAACCCCTATACTGAAGTTTACACCGATTTTGACGAAAACAAGGGTCGTGACAAGGTGGCGCCAACTGGCGCCAGATGGCGCCAGCGCTGAAAATGAAAGTCATTTTCGTGATCAGGGCATCGACTTACCTCTATAGGCAAATTTGCGGTGGTTTCTAAGGTGTACAAAGTTACACTGCACGAGCGGGGGTGGTTTTACGTGAAATCGGCGCGGGCTTATACACCGGAAATTAGGGTAACTTCCGGAGAGTTAGGCAATCCTTGTAGTTTTCTGGAAGCGCACCTCAGGCACAATCAAAATCTACCTCAACAAGTCAAAAAAATACGTCCCAAGAAAGTTATTCCCCTCTAAAATTTTTTCTTCGCCGCGTCCCGTTCTTCCAGCGCCCGGGTGATACCTGCCGCTCCTCCAAGGACGCGACGCGCAGACGCTTTCTGGCGCAACGGATTCATGTCTAGCACTCTTATTAACAAAAACAGGGGGTCGCAACTGGACCCCCTCGAGAGCTAGGGGGTCGCAAAAATCCCGAAAATGTTCGAACGTGACGGTTGACCCTGCTCACGACCCAGGATTTGATCCCCGGACCGCTCGCGTGGTAAGCGCGCCACTTGTCACTACACCACTTCCGCCCTCATAACTAGTGATAACTAATGATAAAATACGATAATAAGAAATGCGATAAATAATGAAAAAATCGCCCAAACATTAAAAAGAAACACTTTTCTTAAGTAAGGTGAGTGCTGCGATGAGCGGCACTGGGTGACGTCGCAAGAGAACATAGTACTACGGATGAGTGAGACGCATACATCCCGTCGATGCTTTTGCGCACAGCTTTAGCCTGTTAACGGACGGGCCTCATCCGAACAGCCTAATCGTTGTATGTGCTTCGAAAGGATAAGGGCTACTGAGATGGGTTAAGGCAGTATTGTAAGGATACACAGGGAAGAGACATGTTTCCCTCTATAGTGAAGACATCTGAAGACATGCGCCAGGATCAAACTGGTGTGGTTCTTGCACATTAATACAAAATACAGTGCGTTTCAAAAGTATGTGCACACCCTCAAAATTCACGTTTGAAAGGGAACCATGAGGTTTCGTGCTATGAAATCCTTCTCAATCGATTTCTCGTAGTCGATAACCTATCAATGGAAGCAAAGCAGATAATATCGCCTCACTTTCGGAAAAATTTTTGGATGAAATTTTTTTCTTTGTTTCAAAAGTATGTGCACACTTGAAGAAGATCAGATTTTGGCGCCGAATTTTCCACCGATTTCAATCCGACTTTGCTGTTTTCATTTCGTCATCATGTCAATTCGCGCCATACTTCTTCCTGAAGATGAGCAAGCTCAGATCAAGGTTCTGCATGATAATGAACGTTCCAATCTAGAAATCGCACGATAACTTGGTCGTTCTCCTTAATGCATTCGAAGATTTATCTGGCACCCTGATAATTATACTCAGCACACACTCCGCTCCATCCACGATCCTTGACTGCTCAGAACAACAAAAGAGTAGCCCACATCCTGTCGGATTCTTCATTGACAGTCCGAGCTCAGATTTTTATTCCAGCCTCGAAAATGACCACTAAGCCCCTCATCCGCTCAAATGAATACACCACTCGACAGACGCTGAGAAAGGCTACTCACTTCAAGGCCCAGCACAAGTTAGCCACATTGGAGTCTGCTCGTACAGACATGGCACATAGAATAGGACACCTGGCAAAGACACGGTTTTTCGAGAATTTCCTATTTTCAGAACAAGCAATTTTTATGGATTTTTTCTCCTCAGGTAATCTTAACTTATGGAAAGAGTTCGATATTGACGGGCCGGGTGGATTTTGCTACTCCT